CTTGACCCATCGCCGGAATACCTCCACCAGCAGCAGTGCGTCCGGAGGGCTGAGTATGACAGTGGAGTGTCCTGAGGGAGAGCGGGACCACAAACTAGAGAAGCCACCTCGCCCCCCCAGACCAGCCCTTCTGCTGGATAGACCCTCCCGGTGGGTAACTGAGGAGAAAAGTTCCTCCTCTGGGAAGGCAAGACAGAATCTACTCCTTTGTCTTCGTGCAGTGGTAGATTGGAAATAGCCGCTGAGAAGGAGGCTATTGCCAAGGGAAGCTGGGGAGAATCTGAAAGTGTGTGTCTTGAAAAGCTGCATAAGTTTTCCCTTTATTTTCTCTCCCCAGGAGGAAAAAGGATTCAGTGGAGAGTCACCCAACCCGAGTGGATGATACCAGGATCGATGCTGATGATATAGTGGAGAAAATAATGCAGAGTCAGGACTTCACAGATGTCAGCAATACTGAAGGTGAGAGGATGAGTCTCAAAGGGGAGGTCTTGGCTGTTCTTTTAGCAAGGCTGCCACGCTTTTACAGTCAGATCTGATCTGCCATGGACTCCCTTTTCCTTTTGACAGCAATTTGCTTGCAGTGCTTGCTAGGTGTTTCTATGGTAGGTAAACAAACCACGTGGATTTGAGAGCTGCACACCCATTAGCAAATAGCACTTGCTGCTGTTCTACACGCTACAGCTGAGGTTGAACAGTAGCTCAAACATACAGGATGAGAGGGGAAAAATACCGATTCTTCAGTGCAGTGGAAATCAGTTACATCAGCTGCCTGCACTGCTGTAGTGGCCTTTGTCCAGGGTCAGCCCAAGGATATTTATTGAAGTAGGAGAGCACAACTGGAGGGGAAACAGCACGTCTCTGCAAAAAGATGGGAAGAAAGATGGGTCACAGTGTGCTGGTGATCAGGTCTGTCTGAAGGCCTAAGAAGGGGTTTCCTCCATTGCAGTCACAGCATTTGTTAAGAGAAAATGAATAATATCACTGCATTTGTTTTAATTTTCTGATTTAGCCTAGAAATCAATCTTTTACATCTAGTTGAGGTTTCTTGGTGAGCTTTAAACCTGAGCCTAGCTTGTTATTAGTATTTCTGTAGTTAGTTACGCTAAAGCATTGCATATGGCAACTTTCTTATAATATGGTGATACATACCTTGCTCAGCATGAGTTAAAACTAGACTGAATGTGGCCACCTCTCACCAGAAGAACAGTCTGAGTTTCTCCTCCAGTGAGCCTACAAAAGCAGCGTGTAGGCTGCTTTTGTAGGCTCACTGTCTCATCTGTTCAGATGTGTTTAAGCTGACCAGGAACTTGCATCAATGGAATTGACTTAAAAGAAGCAGCTGGAGGAATATCACTGAAGTAATCTCTCTGTGTTTACTCTTCCAAAGCTTAATGCTGTGGTTGATTTGTACATGAGGCTCTCTTCCAGAGCAAGAAGAGGTGTTCCCAGGGGCTCTGTTACTGTGGGAGCACCAGAAAGCATGCACATGCATTCCCAGAAATGCACTTGTTCCCGTGCTGTCCTTTGTGTAACGCAGCTAGGAGGGGAGCACCTGGCAGCAGTTGGTAGTTCTGGATGTTGATGTCTTACTTCCTTTTCTATCTGCAGACAGTAACCTGAGGTTGTTTGTGAGCAGAGACGGAACAACTACATTGAGCGGAATTCAGCTGGGAAACAGGTAGGCTTCCTGAAAGGCTGGCAGACAGGGGCGCTCCAGAGAGATTAGTTAGCACTTTGTACACAGGAAACTTTCACCTTTTGCTGTTACAGGAGAGATTTCTAAACATCATGTGCTACATGGTGGCTTTATTCCCACATTAACACCCCTGGGATCCCTCTGGTGACAGGCTACAGCTGCACTGGAGTATGAATGCAGTTCTCAGCAGGAGCTCAGAGGGATAATGTGATCCTAGTTGTTAGATCCAAGAACAGAAGTAAGGAGTAAAAGGACGAAATGGTAGAGGTTGGTTCCTGTTTGCTCCTGCGCGGGACTGAAGGCAGGGAGATTTGCCTCCTGCTGGCCTGCAGCAAAACTGCAGCAGCCTGGGTTATTGTCCTCCCTTTTCCCTGCCACCTCCTTCTTTGTTGAGTGAGAGCTTGTTCTCTCATGAAAGACTGCTGAACAAATAAAACCTTTTGTTGCCACAATAGCTCTCAGTACAGTGTCTTGGCTAGTTGCATTTGAGCATATTTAGCACTTTTTGAGGTTAAAAAAACCTCAACCAATAATGGTAATGCAAAGATGTGTCAAGTCGGCGACAAAATTGGGAGAAAAGCAAAGCCAGGAATACTGGCTCTTTGCGCAGGATACTCCCCCTTTCCTCTGTGCTTTAGAAGGATTCAGTTGTTACACCCAGCTCTTTCAAGTGCTCTAGTGTTAGCTTGCCTCGTAGCTGTCTGTTTTGTGTTATGAGGGTTGACTTCTCGCCAGACTGACTTGTTATTTTCAGTATTTTGTGTGGGGTTAGAGGGTGATGTTTGTGAGTGGAGAGGTCTGAATAAGAACTTCCTTGCTCTAGGTGACTGAGGAAAATAGCCTGGCTTTCTCATCTTCTTCCCCTCTGCCTCCCCAGGGTCTCATCTGGAGTTTACGAGCCAGTGGTGATTGAAACCCACTAAATGTGAAGAACAGGGTAGAGCTGCTGGAAACAGGCCCCCTACCCAGTCTGCTGCCACATGGATGCCAACCTTTACCTCTCTTCATGCAGCATTCCAGAAGGGATTTCTCCATGCCCCTCCCCATACGTTTGCACTGCAGAACTACTCCGAGACCACTCCAAATCATGCACTTTCCCTGTGTTGGCATTACCCTTCCCCGCTTCCTGGTTCTTCCAGTGCCTGCCTTCCCCCTGTTTCTGATCAGATGCAAGGTGTCTGTTGGGCTTATCCTTAGTCCTAGAGGATGTTGCTCATCTGCATCCCTCACTCCACCCATTCACTTGCAACAGGGGACTTCTCAGCTTCTGTCTCCCCAAAACATTGGGTAATACCACTGTGAACTGTTCAAACCACTGGGGGAGGGGGAAACCGTTCTAACCAAACCGAGAGCTGCTTGTTGGTGACATGGTGAAACGGCCACTTGCAGGATGCTTTATTCCATTGACTCTGCAAGGGAACATCGCCTTCCGAGGCAACGGTTTGACTGAACAAGGTATGCTAAGGTGCGCACTTCACCTTCCTACCCTCAAATCCCCAAACATCCTCTTCTCATAGGAAATATCTCCCAAAAGTGCATTTCAGAAAACTACCACAATCCAGATGGGAGTTGATAAACGGTTAAATGCTAGTGCTTGTTATACCACTAACTGCATTGTGCTCTTCCACTGCTGGGCATGGAAGGGCAGTGTTCATCTATTAGCATTAGCAGGAGCACTTTAGAGGTTCCAGATTTGACCTGGAGGAGGCTTCTACTTGCTGTTCCAGGAGCGTAATCCCTGTTCGCTGGAGTGATTCAGCAAATAGTCACTGTTGGAGCTTGTCGTTTGGTTTCTCTTTTTTTTTTTCTTTTTTTTTTTTTTTTTTTTTTTTGTGGCTCAGGAAGGGAACTGCCCTTCTTAGGCTGTGAAAAGAATCTGGTTATCTGATAGCCTTCCCCTGGGCCAGAGCAGGGTGCAGTTGACTGCAGTGGTGTCTACGTTGTGGTGGTGATTAACAGTTGCCTTTCTTGGCCTGGGCCAGTACGGGAGTTGGTGTTGGTTGGCCTTTCTTGCCCTGTCACCAGGGATCTATGTCTGAGCTGGTTCCTTTTGGGGCTGGGGAGAAGCTACCTTCTCTGCCTTCAAAGGTAGAATGGGTGTTTTCTGCTCTGTTAGCCACAGCAGCCGTTCTTAACTGCTCCACGGCGAGTGAACTCTTCTGACAAGGCTTCGAGCTGTTCTCTGGTTGATCTTTCAATTGCTATTCTTTGGGTTTGGTTTCTGCAGTTGTTTGACACTTTAGCTGCCTCTTTTCCTTGCAGTGCGTGGCAGAGATGTCCGTCCCTTTCAGCTCCCGCTTATAGATTCTCCTGGCAGCTGAATTGCAAATGAGGATCTATGCAGACTCCAGCCGTGGGCCGTCAGCAGGCTGTGCTTGCAGCCCTTCCTGTACAGAGACTTTCAGCCAATAAGCTATTTCTGTGTAGTGCCCTTTCCTCTTTTGCCAGTGTACTGTAGTAGCACTCAGCGGCTGTGCACTCGGGGCAATGGCACGCTCCTGGGCATGACTGGGAACGTGCCCTCCTCTGACACACGTGTGCGTGCACACACACAGGCACACACTTGTCCCATTCAGCAAGGAAACACTTGTAACTGATCACGTTGTTGTTCAAGTTCTTAGTTATTGTAAAGCCTTTTTTTAAAGGTGGAAAAACAAACAAAAAAAAAAAAGTATTAATTATGGTCTCTGTGGCCAGAATGCATGCAGATGAGTTACTGGAAAAGGGAATTTGGCAGAACGAAAAACAAGGAATGAAAGGGCCTTGATTTTTTTTTTTTATTTTTTTTTTCTGCCCTGCTAGCTAAGGATGGCTGCGTGGGGAGGGTGCTAGGCAGTGTGGCAAAGCTATACAGCTGCTTACTCTATTTCGACAGTTTCTCTTTTTGAGTCAAGAGGTTTCTTTCTGTATTTGGACAGACAACCTGTAGGATATGGATCTCTTTCACCCTTTCCCTTCAAAGGGAATTAAATTTGGTGTAGGGTAAGAAGGGGTGTAGACAACACCTTGGGTTTGGTTTAATGTGGAGAAAAAGTATTGGATCTTTTGAGTCTGTCTAGAACAAAAACTCTTTCACACTTGCTGGTGTCTTTTAATGGTAATCTCTTCTTCATTCAGTCTGGGAAGGTTTGGCACTCGCTAGCAGGCTGGTGAGCATCCTGCCCTGTTCCTGGGATGATGCATGTCTGCAGGAAGGGGAGAACTGCTTGCTTTTCTCTCTCTCTCTGGGGCTCTGCCAGAAAGCCAGGCCTGACCTGACCCTCTGCTCAGGTCAAGGTGAAGGCAGGAGCAGGCTCAGGCAGCGATGGGTGTTCCTGCCCTGTCTGCAGATGGCTCTGTGGAGCTGAGGGTCAGGCTGCTCCCTGGGGGCCAGCGAAGCCCCTTGGGAAGCTGAGTCCATCCAGGATTTGAAAGGAGCAAACATAAGCCAGGAAAGGGGCCAAAACCCTGCTCACTTCTGCTGCTTTGCGTCTATTCCCATGAAAAACAATGGCAGTCACTGTCAGAGCAGTTGGGAACCCAGGGCTTTCTTCTGGGCTTCCATTGGCAAGAGTCGGCTGCTCCGAGGCGCTGGCAGCTCGGCATGTCACAAAATCCCCATTAGGACAGAGGGCAGAATCTCTTCCCAGTGAAGCAAGAGGAAAAGCAGTTGAGCTTTTCAGAAAGCTGGTCTCATTGTCCCAGGCTGCCAGAGGCATAACCTGCTCCATCGCATAGCTGTGGCCAACCTGGGCATGTCTCTGGCTTCTCTTCCAGCAGCTTGGCACATCACTGCTTGCATTTTTGATAACTGTGTCTTATAGGGTATCTCTTCCTTGTCTCCACATTATTACTGACTTCACAAATCCTGGTCTTTACAGTAGCTTTTTATCTCTCCTACCCCTTGTTTTGAATAAGAAAGCAGCCCTAGTCGTTCAGCCTGGTGCAGCACAGCCAGGGCTGGAGCTCCCAGAGCAGACCCGGAGGGAAGATGGAGCAGTCTGTTCCTATTTCTAGATCCCACACAGAGCTCCCGCTGCGCATGCCATCACAAGTGATGCCCAGCGGTACCTGGCCAGTGGTGGGCATACAAGGCAGTGGTGATGGAAGTGGGGTTGCTTGTCCCACAGACTCACTGCCGTCTCTCGGGAAGCTGCATCTCGCGAGCACTTTTTCCTTGTGGCATCGCTGCAGTCTGTTCCTTGTTGGACTTTGAACATTTAAGAAGTGAATCAGTTTCCAGACCCAAACCGCTGGCTAGTTTCCTTTGGGTTTTGGTTTTTTTTGTTGTTGTTGTTGTGAAGTTTATTGACTTTTTTTGTATAAACCCAGCAGGCTGGTGTTTTTTTGACTGCATTATTGTTTCATTGATATTTTATTCCTGGGGAGCTGAGGGGGGATGTTCTTCCCCACATTGTTCCCCTTCTCAGGGGATTCAGAGGTGGCTTAAACAAGTAAAAGGACCTTATTGGCAAGACTCTGCATCCCCTGGGTTTCAGATGCTGACATGCAGGGCTGCTCACGCCTGGCAGACCCTGGAGAGCAGAGCTGGCTCTCTGCTCCAGTCTTGGGGCCAGGCAAAACACGTGGGCTCTGCTCTCCCAGTTTCTGGACCTTTAGTGGTGGAAGCCCGTTGCAAAGAGTTGAGAAATTCAATGTAGCTTTTTTACTAACTTTTTTTAAAAAAAAACAATATAAACTGAGTGAATGTCCAAAAGAATCGGCTTAGTTGTGACTTGGTGAAGGAGATGGGTTTCAAGTGGAAATTGTGATGGAAAAAGGGGGAGAAGGATGTTGCTCCTCCATCATCTTCTTTTGTATGGTTGGCACTTTAAATGGGGGCCTTTGTACTGTCCTGACCCTCGGTGGGATGGGCAGCAGGCGTGTGATCTCTGCCCCCCCCCCATTGCCACATCACTTTGCCCCCCGCAGGAAGTTAATAAGCCCTTTTAAATGTTTGCTTCAGTTTTTAGAGGGTTCCGAAGCAGGCCAAGACCTGAAGAAATATGTATTTCATTCGCATCTTAATAGGAGGGGTTGAATTTTTTATTTATTTTGTTGTTGCTGTTTCATTTTAAACTGGTGGCTGTGCAGCTGGACTCTGCACACGCTGTTGTGAACCTCTGGGAAAACCTCACTCCAGGTACGCTAGAGCACCTAGGTTAAACACCCCTCCTGGAGAGGGCCTCCCCCCGCTCCCCTCGCTGCCTTACGCAGGAGCTGCAAATTCACCCTCCGCCCCTCCTGCCCCCTCCCCGCCACCCCACCTAGTCTCTAGCTGAACGAGTTCTTGCTCTGGTGACTGAGCCCTGTGGACAAGGCTGGTCCCCAGGGGCAAGTTCCTACAAACACTGCCTGGTTGCAGGTGTTTGTCCTTGTAAAGCCACTTCCTCACTGGGGAGGGGGGGGGTTGAGGAGTGCAAAATTCGCCCCTCGTTTCCCCCCTGAGAGCTGTCATCCATCAGCCCACCCGCACCATCCGAGCCTGATGCCCTCCACAGCTCTACGTTGCATTGCCCCTGCCCTGTCAGGAGGGAGCGGACGTGGAAACCTGGGAAATAAAAAGGAATTTGGATGAAGCTGTGAGCGAGAGGTGTGGCTGAGCCTCGTAACTTGCCTCAAACACAAGGAATAACGGTAGAGCCCGTATTTTTGTGGGGGGGAGGGAGGGGAAGGGGAGATCGTGTTTTATTTTCTTGAAAGTGAATTGAGCTTGGTGATCTTCAGATGAGGCGCGCACTTGATTTATATCAGATTCTATAGAGAGATCGCTGATATTTTTGGAAAGGGAATGGGTCTATGCAAACTTCCAAAATTGCTTGAAAGATAGTTTAACATTTTTTTACTTTGAAATCTAAAGATAAATCTAACTTTTTTCTTAAAGCAGAAGTGCGTTTAGAAAGAGAAGCTACTTCCACTGCTCTATTTTGATGATGATTCTTGGAAAGTTTGGGCTGGAGGGAATGACTATTTTTCACCATTTTTATCTTGCTCCTCTAGTTTTTTGTTTCTTTTTCTAACGGAATGCTGTGCCGTCTTTGATTCAACAGATCGTGTTTGTATTTTCTGTATCTGGTTCCTAACGTAGAGAAATAACAAATATATGAGGAAATCAATATAATGTCAAATGTTGTTATGGTTTGGGGGAAAAATAAAGGGTTTTGGTACTTCACACTGATTCTTCTTGCTTTGTTTCTGGTTTTAAATGTGTTTTTGATTCAAAAATATTTGCTAAGGAAGCCGAAGGGTCAGACAGTGCCTGCTGACATGCAGAGCCCTGGAACAGGATTTGGTTTTGCCCTCCAGGATTTCCTTGGCGGCTGGGAGTGGAGATCCCTGCCAGCCCTTCCCTGCAGACGGGAGAAGTGCTACAGAGGGGAGCTGGCAGCACAGCACAAGTCCAGTGGAAGCAACAGCCTGCAATCCAGGGGGAAGGTCGAACTGGCACGAGTCCTGGCAATGTCTGGTGTTCCTGAACACCGCGTTCTAGCCAAAGCCCTGCTTGAACAGCCCCGTCCTGCCCCATTGCAGAGCAGGGCTGGGCACCCCCGCCCAGGGCCATCTCACCAGGCTGGCCTAGGGGAAGGTGTCGCAGCCCATGGGGCTCCAGGGAACGCCTCTGGGCCCTTGCCGCTTGTGCGAGGGCAGTCACCGCAGGCTGGCAAGCCTGTTGATGGAGATTTGAGCCAAATTCGCTGCCCGGGTACTTGCTGCAGATGCATACAAAGGCTAGAAGGGACCAGGGCCCCTGGCAGGAGGCGGCTTTGCCTTCCCCACCCTCCCAAAGCCTCAGCCACGACGCGTCTGATCAGCTGCACCTTGGAGTCCCTTGGAGGGTCTTCCCCTTTCCCTCAGCTGTATTCCCCATCCTCAGATAATCCCTTGTGTCCCTCAGCTGTTCCACCTCCTTTTTCCCTTTCCTCAACAGAATCACAGAATGGTCAGGGTTGGAAGCGACCTCCAGCCGTGGCATGTGTGGAGAAATGGCTGGGGCACAGGACACAGTGCTGGAGCAGGTGTTGAGCCAGTTGGGTTCAAGATGAGTCACTTCCACCAGAACACATGGACACCGGGTGGTGGGTGAAACTGGAGCACTGTGCTGCCGAAGGGAACCATCCTCTCCTCTCGCCAGGCAGTGGCACAGGATTGGGGATGCTTTAGCAAAGAGCTTTGCTCCTGGCCTTTCCCTCTGGGACCTGCTTGCTTCCAGCTGTAAAAAAGGACCTTGGTGCTGTGGGGGAGGCACCGAACGTGCAGAGGGCGGCCAGCCTGGCCTCGCAGCCTGTCAGGCATTGCCCTCCATGATGGCTGAGAGGAGCCAAGGCCTCCTTCGCACAAACAGGGGACTACAGGGGCCTTCCTGCGAATTTACTTTCTTTCACTGCATTTCCCGCTGATGCCTGGTCCAGAATGCAGGTGTCCTGTGACTTTCTGGAGTATTTTCCAATGAGTAACTCATGCACCGAATCAGCAGCATGTTTCCGTGTGTGCCGGCTGTAAGCACAGGAATACTGCTACTGCTTTCTCTGTTACTCCCTTAGAAAGTGGCACTGCCTGTCTTGACACACGTGGTGAATCTATACCAAACCTTTCTAGAGACAGGTACAAAGGTGTGCAGAGCCTGGCAGGGACAGAACTACTGACATGCAACAGCACATCTGCCAGAACGCGCTTTAAAAAAGCCGAGAGTCGGTATATTGGTGCAGGGGAAGGCAGCAGGTACTTGAAACTCCTTCTGAGTCCTCTGAGGAAGTGCCCTTGCGCTTCTTCTTCCCCACCGCCTCTGGGTCAGCTGCTAAGGTGCAGTCCCCTCTGAGCCCCTCAAACTGGAACCTCAAGAGCCGAGTGGGGGAATTGCCCACCATCCCGGAGAAGGGAAGGAAAAGCCCTTGCAGGAAGCAGGCAGAGCCCCCCGGGCGGGTGCTGCCCCGGTGCCTCCCCCCTCGGAGCCCCGCAGGGTCTCTCCGGCCCCTCTCCCCGTCGTCCGCTCCCCTCCGCTCCCCTCCGCTCCCCTCCGCTCCCCTCCCCGTTTCAGACCCGTGGCGGTGCATTCGCATGCCCTGGGGCTGAACAAACAGCAGGTAGCCATTAACCGTTCCCGAGCAGCTGCCACAGCCTGCGGGTCCTTCTCTGACTCTCTCTCCCTTTGCAGGCCACAGCAACAGACCAGGTGGTTGGATTCGGCTTGGTTGCCTTCAGCCTCGTTCTCTTTGTTTACTACACCCTCTGGATCATCATACTGGTACGGGTCCCCTCTGGCTGTTACAATCCCAGTCACTTCACACTCAGGTGTTAGCCTAGGCTTTGTTTAGGGGATGATGTGTCTGTGTGCCTGAAGGACTCTGCTTTGCCAGCTTCTTGGTTAAAAATTTCAGGGCAGAGCTTCCTCTCTGCTGGTCCAGCCCTTGCCCCTTCTGGATGTGCCAGCCCTTGCCTGGGTGAGACCAAGCTTCGATCGTGCAACCTGCACTGCTGCTCTCAGACAAGCTGACCCAGCCGGTGTAAGATCTGAGGCTCATTCGAGCTATCAGCAAGAGCTGGAGCCTGGTCCCTCTGGAGGTGTTGTCACTGATGTTCGTATTTGCAGTCCTCCAGATTCCTCGTTCTGGTGGGAGATCACGGAGGGAAACATAAAAAGAGATGACTCTTACTAAATCTGGAGCCTGGTAGGGAGGAGAAGGGTTTGGGGAATGCAGAGCTCTGGAAAAGCAATTGCGAACCTGGTAGTTTGCCCACTTCTAGTGACGCATCAGCGTGGGTCATTAGTGGTTTTCTTCCTGGAAAGAAAGGTCTCCTCATGAGCTTTCCAGTACAAGAGGCCTGGTTCAGCCCTGGGCTGATGTCTGAACTCCTGGCAGCTTCTCCCCTACCCTCTGAGAGTTTTGAATTCCAGTCTTGCATCTGCTTACTATCTGCCTGATATGTGTTCATACACGTCTGTAGTCCCAGGAACGCCTAGGTGTGTCCGCTGCCGTGTAGGAATCCTTACACTGCTCTCTAGTGTCCAGAGCCTTCCGCTGGCCTCCACAGAGGGATTGCCATGAAGCAGATCTGGTATCAGCTGCTCCCTTGTGCAGAGCAGAGTCCAGATTTACTGTGTTCAGTACCAAGTGGGCCAGCAGCCGTGCCCACCCTGGCACCCCAGGGCTGCGGGACCCCTGTGATGGCACTGTGTCTGCCGAACGGTGAAGCGTTCACTGCCTGTCCCTTGTCCCATCCCTGCAGCTGTGGGCCAAGCCACGTGCGGGTCTGGGCGCCGTTGTTTTTTTTTAGCTATCTCTTCATGACTGCTATTTCCATCCTGCTTTTGAAACCACAAGGCTGCAGGTGTCGGGGACTTGCCTGGGTGTTGTGCCCACCTCCTGACACCCCTCTCTGTCTCCTGCAGCCCTTCATCGACAGCGACCACGGGATACACCGGTACTTCTTGCCTCGGGAGTATGCAGTTATCATCCCTGTGGTGGCCGGACTGCTGTTACTGCTATTTATAGGTGAGTGTTATTTCTGTTGTTCTAATTAGAAGCTTCTAAATTAGGAAGAGAGAAGAGGTTTGCTAGGGGGTTAGCTAATGTGTGACACTCGTGACACGCTCTCTGTGGCTCCTGACACAGCTCCGCCTGACATGGACTCTCGGGGCCTGTGTTTGCCTGTAACTTTGGCTGTTTGAGCCTCTGGACAGCAGAATTGTTTCTCTGCTGAGGTTCTGCTGCTCACTACAATGGGTTTTGAAAGTGCCCATAATTAGAAGTTTTCTGGCTGAATCTGTTCTCTCTCTCATGGTAGGCGTCTTTATAATGGTCGTGATGTGGAAGAGCAGGAAACCTGCCAAGAAATCAGACTGAAAGCCCAGCTGAGAGATGAGAAGGCGCCCACCCTGCAGCGTCGTAGCCAGGAAAAGACTTTGCCTGCAGCACCTCCTCCAGAGCGCTCAGCACCGAGCTGCCTGCGCTCTCCCACGTTCCTTCCTGCAGAGACGAAGTCTTCTGTAGTTTACAACTTACTGACCAAAGGGAAGCAAAACTGACCTCTGGGGCTCATTGAGAGAGGGACCAGAGCTCCGGCTGTGAGGGACCTGCTCCCCCGCTGGGGCCGCCCGTACCAGAGCTGGCTGGAGGAGCTGTAACAGCCAGAGTGCGAGTTGAGCCCTGTCCACTGCTCGGCCTCTGAGTAATCCTTCCCCTCTGCTCTTGCTGTGTCCAGTAGTTTGTTCCTTCTGGGTTTTTTTTAAATGTTTACATGCGGTTTGTGGGGTTTTATTAATTGGGTTCAAGATGGAGAGGAAAGAAATGAGACTGAGCTTGGAAAAGGCAGGGTTGTGTTCTCCGTTTGCCTGCTGGGAGGACTAACCATGATGCTGATGGGCTCTTACCTTTCTGAAGAGGGACGCCCATGAGGCTGGGCATGTAGAGGGTGCAGGGACAGTGCCACTGCTGCCCTCTGCATCCCCTCCTGCCGTCATCCAGCTGAGGGGGTGGCGAGGAGATCCCCTGGGTCACAAGGAAGCATTCGGCACCACCGCTGACCAGTGTGGCTCTCATCACTGCTGTCAGCCACTGGCTGGGTTCCTGCTCCCGGACAAGACTCCACATGCCAGCCAGGGAGGTGTGGTGGCACCCTGTCCTTCCCCCCCAGGGTTTACTCTCCTGGCAGCAGTTGCTGCCCTGAGGTTTGGTGTCCCACCAGCTCCCACAGACCACAACGAGTGGGATCACCCTCAATAAAGGTCCCCAAGATCTCAGTCCCTGTCCTCAGCCCATGCCAAGGGGGTGCCGCAGGCCTGCTGGGATGGTTTCTGCTGCATGGCCCTGGCAGTGCCCAACGCCGTGCTGGGGAAGGTCCTTGCCTGGGCTCTCGGTGGGTCCTGTCTTGCCAGTGGGGACAGGCGGGGAAGCACCGGAGAGGACCTGGCTGGGCAAACCAAGCCTTCTGCTGGCCCTGCCATGCTGGGGGCTGCTTTACCCTGCCTGGGGTAGCTCCAGCAAAAGGAGGGCAGATTGGGGCGCTCTGATCCTTCTCACACTGCGAACTTCCCCTTCCAGACAGCCGCGTGTCCCATCGTCTCCCATCCTGCCAGGGGGTGATGCTGGTGGTTTGGGGGCACACTGGGTGCTGCAGGTCTTGGGCTGAATCTGGCTGGAGGCTCGTTTCCAGCTCTTGGGGAGGCTGCCTGGCTGTGCCGGGCTGCACACCCACCCCGCTCACCTCTCGCTGCACTCTCCCTGAGGCCAGGTCCTCCATCCCCCTGTTTTCCCTTACCTGTGCCTTGCTGCTGCCCCTTCTCCCGGTGAGGAATCCCCCACTCCCCAGCCCCTCGCCTGCTCAGCCGCTCCCCCTCAAGGTGGGTTTGAGCTGGGACAGGGGGTGGTAAAAGGGGGAAAAATTTGGTCGTGTCTCTGAGCAGGTCCAGGCGTTCTCCCGCAGCACTGCTTGCTGTGTGGGAGCACGGCGGTGTCCCTGTCACCTCCTCTTTCCTCCCAGTTAAAGCTTGTGGGGGACAGGCTTTGGACCAGTTTCAAGGTCATAATTCTTTGTCAACAGTGGGAGAAAGCAAAGTCCAGTAGCGCTCCCTGGGCAGGCAGCCGGCGGCTCGCTCGGGGGATGTTTCTCACGGGGGCTCTGCAGTTTGGGCCGAGCACGAGGGGCTGTGGGTGACGGGTGCCCCCCGCCCCGGGGCCATCAGATGGGGACCTGGGGTGTCAAGAAGGCCCCAGCCCCATTTTGGATCATTTTGATCCCTGAGCTGTTCCCACCACCGCTGAACGCACCAGTATCCGGCCTGACTTGGAGCTACTGGTGCGGTGCAAGGAGGTGAGAAAGGGGCTTTGGGGCGGGGCGGGGGGGGTTGGCTGCAGGGACCCCCGGGAAGGCGGAGAGGGCAGAGCAGGAGGTGGGGAGAGAAACGGGTGCCGGGGTCGGTCCCAGACGCGTTGGTCCCAGGACATAGAGGATGGGTCCCGGTGCCGGTCCCGGAGCC